CGATATTGTGAATTATCTTGTCAATAACAACATTTCAGCTTATTCAGAATGTAGAATATTTATAAAGTAACTTAGAGAATATTAGTTTCCCAACAGAGATGCTCAAAATTCATTGAGATTGTCTCTGGAATATTCCAAACATTTTAAGAACATGCGTAGAGCTTGAACTTTGTGGATCAATGAGGAAGCAAATTAGTAATACTGCTATTACTACTAATAATAAACAACAAAAATAGTGACGATTTATGAGATCTTCAATTTTGCAGCACTGTGGACTCATCCATTATCCTTTGATGTAACAAGTGACTTAAAACTCCACAGAGAATTTCCTTCCAATATCTCTCCTTCCTCATCATATAATAAACCCAAGGAAGTTGCCAGGATTTCCAATATTTTCTCTCCTACAAGTTTCTTCTATTTTTGTCTCAAGATAGGTGTTTTGTTCTTTATCTTTTTGGTTATTCAAACACCATTAATAAAATAAATATATATCCTTGAGTCTCTTTGTCCTCCCCATTTTGTGAGGGTAGTATTTTTCTTAGAATGTGTAACCAATTTATGTTAATGAACGTCTATTCCTCTCATAGGATTTCTTGGTATGACCTAAACTGGAAGTCCATTCTATTAAGAAGTAAAATGATTATTGTAACTCCCCTAACGAATGACTTGTTTGGTGTTACTTCCTCCCACCTCCCATCTCCCCAACCAGGCATCAATTATCCATGTTTCTAGAATTGACTTGAGTGCTGCACTTCCTTTATAAATAAGTGTCAAATGTTGTTCCTTGATGACCCCTTCCTACAGCTCTGTTAAGCCATGAATCCCCACTTACAAAAATGAAAAATAGGCATGAGGCTCAGCTTTCCTCTCATGAAACTTTTCCATTGATAGAGTGAGGCATCATCAGGCATCTGAAGGCCCATTTAATCATTTTGTCTGATTGAGATGAGCATTAGCACATCCATTTGTACCTAGGTGGGCTTATTACTAAGGAAGCATCTTGGTTAAAGTGACACAAAGTGCTACATGAGCGATTTTCTTTGTGCTTTTAGAATATCCATTTTCCTTGTGGTGGAGAAATGCCATCACTTCCTATCTGGTTCCCTTGCTATCTCCTTCAAGCACGTGTTGGAGTGACAATCCCCTGGCATTTCTTTCACATCACAATCTTGATAGGAGCTTTAATTGAGCATCATAGATCATCTTTCCTGTGCTCCACTGATTAGAAACGTTAGCTCTTTGCATCATTCATCAGCACTCATCAGCGATCCTTCGTGCTACAGAAAAAAAAAGCATTCTTATTCTTGACAATAAAGAGAAACTCTGAATTTTCCTGTTACATTTTTAAATCCTAACACACAATTATAATTTTCCTCCAGTATGAATAAGCAATTTTCATTCATTTTGCTAAAGGCAAAACAAACGTTTGGGTTCATCATCACTTAAAAGGTTTTCCATTCTCAGATTCAATCCTCCTTTGTTTATAAGCATCAAGAAAGGGCAAGTCGAGTTCTGCTTAATTGAACATAAAATTTCATGTTTTCAGCATTATGCTCTCTTTTCATAAAATATTTATAAGTAACTTCCAGTAGTTGCAATTAAAACCGGATCACCCTAAATTTAACCCCTCTCTAAGTGGAGCACTGCTGAGCATAAAGGAGAAGGGATTGAAACTGAATTTGCACCATA